CTGTTATTGTTCTCTTTGTGAGGCTGGGGGAGGGGAATTGAACCACTCCCAGTGGAGTTCAAAGGCTATAGATAGTTCAGTGCTTAGGGGGTCCCACACTGTGGGGATCCAACCCAGGCCACCTACTGAGAAGCACGTGCTCCTGCCCCAAGGACTGGACTCCCACAGCTTTCTGCTCTTAAGCCTTAATCAGTTATGTTTCAGGGGGGAATCAGCGCTATCCAACTTTTTCATCCTGTTGCTCTTGAATTCAGAAGATCTTGCTGAACTAGAGGGTGAGCGCAGTGAATAAGGCCTTGCACTCGACAACCCAGGTTAGATCCTGGCACTCCACAGGGTCCCCTTAGCACTGCCAGGAGTTAGCCCTGAGCACAGGGCTAGGAGGATGCCCCGAGCAATAAATAAATAAATAAATAAATCACTATGCTGATTCAAAGCTGGAACTCTGCACAGCCAAGTTCTCCTGCAGAACAAGTGAGTCGATTTATTACGACCACAGGGAAATTTGGAGCTCTCCAGTTGCTCTTAGTGTGACACTCTGCCCAACAGTGCTCAGGTTGGCGATGTGGTGTTGGAAGTGGAGGCAGCCAGGCCCACACTTGGTGGTGCTAGGGGTGGAGGAATAGGAATGGCAGGGGGTGTGCCTGAGGGGCTGGGGATCCCTCCACCTTTGATTTTCCCCAAAACAGTAAGATTTTCCCCCAAAAGTCATAAAGCATACCGACAAAGTCTAGAAGGAAGAGGCAATGGCCATACAATTTTGGGAAGTTGAATATCAGAAGGCAGGAGTAAATAGATTGATTTATTTTGGCTTGGGGGCCATACCATATGGTGCTTAGAGCTTACTTTATGCTCTTGGTGTAGCTCTGGGGATCACATGTAGTGCTGGGAATTGAACCCGGATTGGCTGTCTTCAAGGCAAGCTTCTTATTCACTATGCTATCTCTCCAGCTGTAAATAGATCAGATTTATTTATTTATTTATTTTGCTTTTGGGGTCACACCCAGCGATGCTCAGGGGTTATTCCTGGCTCTGCACTTAGGAATTATTCCTGTTGGTGTGTTTGGGGGACCATATGGGATGCCAGGGATTGAACCCAGGTCGGCCGCGTGCAAGGCAAACGCCCTAACCGCTGTGCTATCACTCCGGCCCCAAATAGATCAGATTTAAAGGTAAGAGTCCTAAGCCATCAAAAAGGAGAGCTATGCAGTAGCTGTTGGCACCCCGGAACCTCAGAAGCTTTGGTATTGGGTGACATCAGGTGCCTTTCATGGAACAAGGGATGGAGCTATGACCAGAGGACTGTTTGAAAGTGTTAATGCTCAGGTCTCTTCCCCCCCACAATTCCCAGAGAGGGGAGCAATGGCCATCCCCTCCAGGCAGGAGGTTTTTTTTAGATTCTGCCCCTAGAAGTCTGACCTGCCCAAGACAAAAACCATGGATGCTATGAATCCATCTAGTTTACCCACTGAAGCCTAATCAAGTTCGCCCTATGGGTACAGAACATTCATTCAGCTTGAGGTGAGTGTCCCAGCCTGACCCAAGCATGTGCAGCCGAGGTTGTCAGACACCCGAGAAATCCACGGCTCACCCAGACCAACAGGAAAACAACAGTTGCACCAGAAATGGTACGCAGAGATTATAGATCTATTCTTCTGAATGATGAAGGTTGAATGTTTCAGAGTTCAAGAAGATTGTATCCAAGAAAGAAAGAAAGAAAGAAAGAAAGAAAGAAAGAAAGAAAGAAAGAAAGAAAGACAGAAAGACAAAAAGAAGCAAAGTCTTCATCTTTTAATGAAAAGTGCCATGGGGAATTTAAAAATATTATTGTTAAAGTGAAGAACTTAGTAGAGGCTATAGAAGATAAAATTGAAGCCCCATACTGTCCCAAATGCCTGAATAACAGACATTTGAGAAGCAAGAACAGAAAATGGACAGAAGTAAATCACAAAGACTAATTTGAGGAAATTTCCTGAAATTGAAGGGCATGAACGTCTAGATAAAAAGGCCTCTCGGTAGGAGATCCACTTAATGGGTAAACATTGGCCCACACCAAGATCCTTTTTCATGGCAGTTTTGGAACGGTGTGGAAGTTACTAGGTTTCCAGAGAAGAAACTAAAAGCCAGGTCACTTTCTAAAGATAAGGAAGCCGAGTAGTCACCACAGAAGCTGGGCGGTGGAGGGACCTGGAGATTCTCGAAGGCGGTTACCCTCAGCCTTGCCAGAACCTCTCTTGGAAAAAAAGAAGCCCAACATTTTATGACATGCCAGGGATCTCAGAGTTTGGCTCCCAAGTCACTTTTTTTCCCAGAACCTACTGGAAAGTTTATTTCACTAAAACTAGAGTCTGTTAGCACAGGTGGGAGACCGAGGCACTGACGGAAGAGCTGGCTAGAGAGAGCCTGTCTGGGAATGGGGATCTGAGGAAATGACTGGGTATCTCTGGGAGCGACCCTAAGCGTCACAGTTGTGGCCCCAAAATGCAGATGGAAAAAGAGAACCTCACAATGTTGAGGTGTGTCAGAGAGGAGGCAGATTGCATGGGCTGCACCTATAGAGCATCAACACCTACTCACCCAGTGTGGCCATGAAGACACTCAAGGGCTGGAGCATATTTCTCCCATGTGGAGCCACTGAGTTCGCTCCTGGGCACCACAAAGCCCCGGAACACATTTGAGTGTGACCCCACTGACCGCAGGGCCTGAGCAGTACCACACCGCTGGGCACTGAGCCATCCAGCCCGCATTGCTGAACCAAATAGCACAGGGAATGGAAACTCCCTTTTATTATTTTTTTAAAGAGGACGGGGCTGGAGCAATAGCACAGCGGGCAGGGCATTTTCCTCGCACGTGGCTGACCTGGGTTCGATTCCCAGCATCCCATGTGGTCCCCCGAGTACCACCAGGAGTAATTCCGAGTGCATGAGCCAGCAGTAACCACTGTGCACTGCCAGGTGTGACCCAAAAAGCAAAAAAATAAAAAATAAAATAAAATAAAGAGGGGGAGCACCTGGCAGTGCTTGAGGGATCATATATAGCACTGGGAATTGAACTGGGATCGGCCACATGCAAGGCAAGCCAATACCTTTCCTACCTGTACTGTCAAGACCGAGAAACTTTGTGAGGGGGGGCACACCAGCTGATGCTCAGGAGTTACTCCTGACTCTGCACTTAGGAATTACTCCTGGTTTTTCTCAGGGGACCATAAGGGATGACGAGGATCGAGCATATGCAAGGCAAGCGCCCTGCACTCTGTACTGTCGTCCAGCCCTTAGAGGAAATGAGTTTCTGGCTTGGGAGAGAATGTTTTTGGGGCCAAGGAAGACCTGAATCTCTTGAAGAAAATAAACTCCCCCTCCTCGGTAGGCTGTTAAACTGCCCAGAAGTGGCATCAGAAGGGTGGCTTCAGAGCCTTGAGCTGAGCAGCCCTTCTCTTTTTGCAAGGACTTTTCCATAAAAGTCAGACCTCAGGTCCCAATAATTAATCTCAGATGGAGGCTTCAGTGCTGGGGTTTCCTCTGTCTTTAACCTAAGAGAACATGTTGTGAATGGTTTGTTTATTTGCTCGCCAGAGATCTTATCCTGACTCGGAAGAGCTGATGGGTCATAAAACCAGAATTGATCTTTCCCCCTCAGTATTTCTCTGTGAAACAATCATGAAAGCATAACCCAGAACAAATGTGAAGTGGGATTGTGTGGTGCTGGTGATGGGGGCGGGGAAGGGGTTTATTGTCATTTCATAATGATCGTATTTCATAGTACTAAATGGAAATCGCTCTGTTGGGTGTTTTAATCCCCAGACTTGCTTTGTTCCTTCTCAGCATATTTGGATTAATCACTACCGAACCGCCAAAGCCAAGTGTCTCAACCACCCACTTGCCTATTCCCAGCACATGAATTAGAAGCTGAAATCTGGGCCAATCGCTTGGATGACTTCTAGTCTGACTTTTGTTCCATGATATAAAACTCAAAATAAATCAAAAAGAAATGATCTTCCAGATAATGCACTCTCTCTCATGCATGTACGTGTGCACGCACACACACACACACACACACACACACACACACACACACACGCACCCCGTTGGTAGACAAAGGTCCTATGAACCCAGCACAGGACTTGGAGGCTAATCCCAGCAGGCACGGATACTCACATGTTTCCATCTTCCAGCGGTGCTAAAACATAAGTGAAAACTAAGAAACTTTATCTTCTAGAAGGCCCAGAAAGATGTCATAGAAATGGTGGAAGACTTGGAGAGACAACCATTAAAGAAAGTTGTCCAAGAGAGAATTGGAGCTTTGAACATAATATGTTCAAAAAGTAACTTTTGAAAAAGTGGATAGCAAATAGGGGTAGAAGAAAGAAAAGGAAATTGGTATATGTCATAGATGAGGCTTGTAATTTTTTTTAAATAGTTTTTTTGTTCATATCCAGCAGTGTTCAGGGCTTACTTCTGGCTATGAGCTCAGGTGTCAGTACTGGAGGGTTCTTGGAGGGACCCTATGGGGACTGGGGATCTAACCATGCTTGACTGCATGCAAGGCAAATGCCCTACCTGCCATACCACCTCTCTGGCTGTAGAGAAGGTGTTTTGTTCAGATGTTATGAATAAACTTTGGGGAGTCTGAGAGATAATACAGCACTTGCTCTGCATGCAGCCGACCTGAGTTTGATCCCCAGCATCTCATGTGGTCCCCTGAGCACTGGCAGGAGTGATTCCTGAGTACAGAGTCAGGAGTAATTCTGAGCAACACCAGTTGTGGCCCCAAAATAAAATAAATCTCTTTCCTGATACAGAACTCTGGTTTTTTTCTAAAAGAACAAGAAACGGCCAGAAAGTTTAGCACACTTTGAGTTACTGGCACAGCCAGGACTAATGCCCAAACTTTCTCCTTCGGCCAGTGTCTACACTGGATTAGAGCCGTTCTCTCATCAGTGTGAAAAATGCGTGCCTTGCTTTGACTTCAGTCTCAGCTACTGACCTTTGTCTCCCCTGCAGCTGGGATGAAAGCAGCTCCATCAGCAGTGGCCTCAGCGATGCATCCGACAACCTCAGCTCAGAGGAGTTCAATGCCAGCTCGTCACTCAACTCCCTCCCAACGACTCCCACTGCCTCTCGCCGGAACTCCACAGTAGTGGTGCGTGAGCTTGCAAACACACAGACTCCCCTCCCAATGAGCCACAGCCACGCTGGGCACTGCCTGAGCTTACAAGATGCTCTCCCACTCTCCGTGGCCTTTGCCCATAAGCCTTTGAGAAAATCTTTGTGGGTGGGCAGGAAGAGCCCAGAGGGCTGGAGCCATAGCACAGCGGGTAGGGTGTTTGCCTTGCGTACTGCTGACCCAGGTTCGATTCCCAACATCCCATATGAGCACCACCAGGAGTGATTCCTGAGTACATGAGCCAGGAGTAACCCCTGTGCATCACTGGGTGTGACCCAAAAAGAAAAAAAGAAAAAAATGTAGAGCCCAGAGGCCACCAAGTAGAGAGACCCGTGACATGAGTTCTGCTCGGTGTGCAGTGACCGTTGTGAGAGCTCTTCGTAGTGGGAAAGAGAAAGCAGTCCAGAACTAAGCATGCCAAGTGGCAGTTTGGGTGAAAACGCAGACTTGATTCTGTTCTACTGTCAGAGGAACAGGGTCACCCCACAACCCCTCCACCCTAAAAATCCCTCCCCGTCTTCATGTTCCCTTCCCCAGTGAATGTCTCCCTCTGCTTCTCCTCTTCAGCTGCGCACTGACTCGGAGAAGCGCTCGCTCGCAGAAAGTGGGCTGAACTGGTTTAGTGAGTCAGAGGAGAAGACCCCCAAGAAGCTGGAGTACGACAGCGGCAGCCTGAAGATGGAGCCCGGGACCTCGAAGTGGCGGCGGGAGCGGCCTGAGAGCTGCGATGACGCCTCCAAAATCGGGGAACTGAAAAAGCCCATCAGCCTGGGCCACCCTGGCTCCCTGAAGAAGGGCAAGACACCGCCCGTGGCCGTCACCTCCCCCATCACTCACACAGCCCAGAGCGCCCTTAAGGTCGCAGGTGAGCCTTGGATGGAGGAGGGACAAAGACAAAGACCTGTGTCTCTGATTGGTCCCCTTCCTTCTGGTCACTCATTCCTGGGATCAAAGTAGAATTTTGGGGTATTGTTTGTTTGGTTTGGGTTTGTTTGGTTTTATTTTGGTTTGGGGGCCACACCTGGCAGTGCCCAGGGCTCAATCCTGGCAGGGCCAGATAGGTGCCAGGGCCCCCTCAAGACAAGCTATCCCCGCTGTCCTATCGCTTTGGCCTCTAAAAGCAGGTTTTGCTTAGCTTTATTTTATTTTTTTAAATATAAGCGCTAACAGTATAAGCTCTAAAACATAGGCACAAAAAATAAAATAAAATAAAACAGGCACAAATATTCATGACCTTGATTTGGCAACAGTCTCAGATTTTATATCAAAAGCTTGAACTTTTAGGGGCTGGAAGGATAGCACAGCGGGTAGGTCATTTGCCTTGCACACGGCCAACCCGGGTTCGATTCCCAGCATCCCATATGGTCCCCTGAGCACTGCCAGGAGTAATTCCTGAGTGTAGAGCAAGGAGCAACCACTGAACATCACCAGGTATGGCCCAAAAAGTAAAAAATTAAATTAAATTAAAATAAATAAATAGACAAAATCAGACACTGGGGCAATCTGAGGAAAACTGACACTCGTGGGTAGGGTGTAGTGTTGGAGTGTTTGATGCACGCAAGTCTGCCATCATTAACACTGTAAATCATGGTGGCTCCATGTCTTGTCGTATTAGCTGGCCTTCCCAGCAGCCCTCGAAGTAAGGTGTAGATGTGCCTACATCACCCAGTTCAGAAGTAGTGGAGCACTGAGTATATATGTTCACAAACAATTCACACAATTTGGGGTTTTGTTATTCTTTTGGGGGGTTTGGGGATCATAACCAGTATGTCCCCGGAGCTGTTCCTTGTTCTGTGCTCAGGCATGACTCCTGGCTGTGTGCCCCTGTAGGCAGTGTTGGGGATTCGAACCGTGAAGGGCCACATGCGTGGCAAAGAGCCTTAACCCCTGCATTACTTCTGTGAACCCCCAGAATGATTTTTTTTAATGTAGGAGTACTGCTATTTATTCAGCCATTGATTAAACTGGTTGAATCCCCAAAATGATTTTGACCTGCCTTCACATGCCTCCCATGGGTAGTTTCATTCCTCTCCCGAGGAATTCTGCTGCTGTACTTAACCTTCACAGGGTCCACGTGTGTTGTCATAAGACAGCACTAAGTTAGAATTGGATTGCTCGGGAATCATCTCCGGGGACCACTTTTCCCCTGACCAGCCTCTCCCCCATCTCTGATTCCCTGTAGCTATTGCTATTCTCGAGTTCCGTCCTTTCCACTCACCAAAATGATTTTTGACCTGTGTCTGCCCATAGACTCTTCTGGCAGGTCCATAAAATGATTGGTGTTTTACCTGGGGTCCGCCTGGACTGGAACCTAGTGGAGTCGGACGGCACTGCCAAAGGCTACTATCGTAAAGGTTTTCATTTCTGCCTTAGTAGTCAGGAAACATTTCTCCCTTCTTCCTGTCATCACGCGTAGGCAGGTTGAAAACCACCGCTCTGGTTAGCTCCTACCTGGTCTGGTTTTCGTTTTGTTTTGTTTTGTTTTACTTGTTTAAGGACCACACCCAACAGTGCTCAGGACTTATTCCTGGCCCTGTGCTCAGGGATCACTCTTGGCAGGGTTTAGGGAACCCTATGTGGTGCCAGGGGTCAAACCTGAATGGGCTGTTTGCAAGGTGAGCACCCTGCCCCAGAGTTCCTTGACCAGTTGTGAGATGTACCTCCTTATTATTATCTTTGGGTATGCATCTGCCTGTCTTAACCCAAATCCTACTCTGGGAGCAGAAAACAACAAACAATAAAGCAGACCAAAATTATCCTAGGCTGCCCTCCCCCAGAAACCTCCTTACTTGTGGCAGGAAATTCCATCGGCTTATGCAGTCCCTGCTCACCATTTTTCAGCCCACTCACATTCTACAATTTTACCATAAAATCATCACACGTTTTATGCCAAAAAAATTTATTTAAATTGGGATGCAACTTGCAACTATTATATGAATCTTGAAGCAAAATTTTGCTGATGTTACTTTTAAAATCCCTTCTTATATAGGACAGAGAGATAGTATTGGGAGTTATGCAGTGCAAGCTGCCTTGCATGCAGCTGACCCAACTCAATTTGCCTACCACATGTTAACCGCCCCCCACCCCCAGCCCAGTACTGCCAGGAGGGATCCCGGAGCACGGAGCTGTGCTTTGAGCCCTGCACTGTTATCAGACTGTGGTGCGAGCTGAGGTTCCATGGAATACTTGTGAATATACACGCATAAGGTGGCGGCAATTATGCGGTGCAGTAAGGGTAGATAACAGCGTTCCCTTTTTCCACGGAGAGAAAGGAACCAAGTGTTGCAGAGTCTCCATCTCAGCTGCTGCTTTCTTCCTCCGTTCCTGCCCCCCTCCCCTGCAGGCAAACCTGAAGGCAAGGCCCCCGACAAGGGGAGGCTGGCGGTCAAGGGCACAGGCCTCCAGCGCTCCTCCTCGGACGCAGGCCGAGATCGCCTGAGTGAGGCAAAGAAGCCCCCCTCGGGCATCGCCCGCCCGTCCACCTCAGGGTCTTTTGGCTACAAGAAGCCTCCTCCTGCCACGGGCACCGCCACCGTCATGCAGACGGGGAGCTCGGCCACGCTCAGCAAGATCCAGAAGTCATCGGGCATCCCTGTCAAGCCTGTGAACGGACGCAAGACCAGTTTAGATGTGTCCAACAGCGTGGAGCCTGGCTTCCTGTCCCCCGGAGCCCGCTCCAACGTCCAGTACCGCAGCCTGCCCCGGCCGGCCAAGTCCAGCTCCATGAGCGTGACCGGGGGCCGTCCTGGCCCCCGCCCCGTGAGCAGTAGCATCGACCCCAGTCTGCTGAGCACCAAGCAGGCAGGCCTAACCCCCTCCCGGCTGAAGGAGCCTTCCAAGGTGGCCAGTGGCCGCACCACTCCAGCCCCCGTCAACCAGACGGATCGGGAAAAGGAGAAGGCCAAGGCCAAAGCAGTGGCCTTGGATCCAGACAGCATCTCCCTGAAGACAGTGGGCTCCCCCGAGAGTACCCCCAAGAACCAGCCCAGCCACCCGCCGGCCCCCAAGCTGGCAGAGCTCCCCCCCACCCCTCTCAGGTGAGTGACCACACCTGTCTGGCCTCACAGGGGCTCCCCCTGGCCTGCTCCCACGCTGACACGTTCCTTCTTCTTCCTCGAGGCTGCTCGTCCTCTCCCTCCGGCGACTGTAAATTGGGTCCGTTTACATCCTATGTTTGTTGGTGTGTCCTATGCTGTGAACCCCTCATTGTAGACCTCCCGCTGTCCAGTGCTCTGAGTCCGCATCACCCCTGTCCTCAGCCTCATGGGGCCATGTTGGGGCTCAGCAAACAGATCGCAAGGAAATGGCGCGGGATTCTCCGGAAGGGGCCCCAGTTTCTGGCTTCTCACCGGCCGCGTTGCTGTTCTCAGTGTTGGGTCTTTTCTCCCTCCCCAGGGCCGTGTCCAAGAGCTTTGTCAAGCCTCCCTCGCTGGCCAATCTCGACAAGGTCAACTCCAACAGCCTGGACCTGCCCTCGTCCGCTGATGGCCACACCTCCAAGGTCCCCGAGCTGCACGCTCCCAGCTCAGGCGCTGGCGGCCCGCTCACGTCTTGCTTCACCCCCAGCCCAGCACCCATCCTCAATATTAACTCAGCCAGTTTCTCCCAGGGCCTGGAGCTCATGAGTGGCTTCAGCGCCCCCAAAGAGAGCCGCATGTACCCCAAACTCTCAGCCCTGCACAGGAGCATGGAGTCCCTCCAGATGCCCATGAGCCTGCCCAGTGCCTTCCCCAGCAGCACCCCCATCCCCACCCCGCCCGTGCCCCCTGCTGCAGCCCCGGAGGAAGAAGCAGAAGAGCTGACGTGGAGCGGCAGCCCCAGGACCGGGCAGTTGGATGGGTAGGTGAATGGGCTCGCGCCGGGCCTGGGTCTTGGCCGGAGCCAGAGGCACCAGCGCCTTCTCCGCAGCGCCATGGCTCACAGCCGCTGGTCACTCTCGTCTCCTCGTCCTCTTTTCCTTGCACTCTGAGGAGGACTTTCTTCTTTCTTCCTTTCCTTCCCTTGCTCTTTCCCTTCTCCTTCTCTTTCCCCTTCCCCTTTTTCTCCCCACTTCCTCTTTCCCATCCTTTCCTTTCTTCTCCTTCCTTCCTATCTTCCTTCCCTCCCTCCCTCCCTCCCTCTTTCTTTCTTTCTTTCTTTTTTCCTTTTTCCTTCTTTCTTTCCTTCTTCCTTCCTCCCTCTCTTCTTTCTCTTTCTTTCCTTCTTCCTTCCTCCCTTTCTTCCTTTCTCTTTCTCTTTTTCTCTTTCTTTTTCTTTCTTCCTTCTTTCCATCTTTCCTTCCCTCCCTTCCTCTCTTCTTCCTTTCTCTTCTTCCTTTCTCTCTCTCTTTCTCTCTCTTCCTTTCTCTCTCTCTCTTTATCTCTCAAACTCCCAAACTCTGGTTTCTTAAAGGACCCACATGCTTCTCTTTCTTTTTTTTTTTTCTCCACAGCAGTCAACGGGATCGGAACACCCTGCCCAAGAAAGGACTCAGGCAAGGCTTAAATTTGTTCTTCTGTCCTTACCCCAGGTGTGGGACAAACCCTCCTGGGATGTGTTCCATGCTCCAGTCATTTGGCCATTTAACCAAGCCACTGGCGCTGGGTTCTGCCTGACCCGCCCAAGTGTGAGTCACTTTTTAGCTGCAGTGGCAGAGGAGAGTCAGGCCAGCGCACAACCTCGCTGACCTGGGGTAGCCCGTGCCCCAGTTTTGCCAGAGCATTCTCCAGCTTTCCTCCCTGGGACTCGGAGACGTGCTCCCATGCCCCCCACCCACGCCCTCCTCGGGGCTCACAGCATCCAGCTCTGCCCCGCGCTTTGGGAGAGTCACACATCACCCCAGTTCCCCCTGGCATCCCTTGTCGTTCCCTGCCGCGCTGAGCTCTGTCGCTGTCCTGTAGGTACCAGCTGCAGCCGCAGGAGGAGGCCAAGGAGCGGCGCCACTCCCACACCGCCGGGGGGCTGCCCGAGTCGGACGACACGGCGGAGCTCCCGTCGCCCCCGGCGCTCTCCGTGTCACTGAGTGCCAAGGGCCAGCTCACCAACATAGGTCAGTGCTGCCGGCGCTCACTGTGGCCTGGGAGGTGGCAGGGCCTCCCCGTGGGGCGCGGCGAGGCAGCAAGTCTGGGGGTGTCTCCTCCTGGGGACCGCGGGCTGTGGGCTGGCTCCAGGGCGCTGTGTCCACACGGGGACGGCTATGGCCATGCACAGGAAGAGCGAAGGGCACGAGATGGAGATTCCAGCCAGAGCAGTGACCTCTGGGAATGAGCTCAGGGTCTGGGAGGCGTCTGCATGTCCCCGCGGTGACAGCGGGGTCGGGGAGACCCTCCTTGGGCCACACACAGGCAGCCTCTGCCCACATGAAGGTGATGGTGGGAATGGCAGTTGGTGGTCAACGGATGGGATGTGGCTTCTGGAAAAGTCCAGATGGCCACGCTTCTCTGAGGAGCCAGGCCTGTCCTAGCCCTGCAGGCCAAGCTGTACAGGACAAGCTCCGGCCTGAGGCGGGCGGGAAGGATGGCCTGGCTGGTGATTCTGAGGCTCAGGGGGAACGGGAAGGTGCTGGGCACTGGCATGGAGAGACACGTGACAGGCCTCGTGGAGGTGTGGGGGACCCTCTCCCGAGAGGGCGGTGCCATGCCCTGGGAGACTGTGAGGAATTGAGGGAATAGCAGGAGTGGAAGCATTTTGGTGAGAGAAGGGAGCAAACGAGGAAAAGCCATTCTGGGGCTGGAGCGGTAGTACAGTGGGGAGGGCATTGGCCTCCCACGCGACTGACCCAAGTTCGATCCCCGGCATCCCATATGGACCCTGAATACTGCCAGGAGTGATTCCTGAGTGCAGAACCAGGAGTAACCCCTGAGCACTGCAGGTTGTGACCCTTCCCCCCCCCCCCAAAAAAAAGCAAAGGTCATTCAGTCCTTGGAGGATGGGGTGAGCATGGTTTCGTCTCCACGGGGGTCACTCCAGGCAACGCAGACTGGGCTGCTTCAGAGCCGGGAGTCCCCACCTGCAACCCTGCCTCATGCCGCACCCAGGCTGCTCTGTTTCCACCTCCCTCGGCGCAGCTCCCTTAGAATTTCCTCAAGCTGCACCCCTGTTTACTGAGGCTCTGGGAGCGCCATGCAGGGGTGAGGCAGCACACTGCCGGGCCTTGGGGCTCAGCAGAGCCCCCCACCTCACCAGTCTGGGCTCACACTGGGGAGGGGTGCGGCAGGCCGAGAGGCTGGTTTCTTGCTGCTTTAGAACGGACCAGGGAGCCAGAGAGACCTGGTGGGCCGGGAGCCTCGCCCTGGCACCAGGCCCTGGGCCCATGACTCGCCCCTTTCTCCAGCTGCCTCTTGCCCTCCTCCAGTGCCGTCACCACCCCCCCAGGGCCAGGCATGTCTCAGCTGCAGTGCCCGCGTGCGTGCACACATCCCTGGGATGTGAAGGTTTCGAAAGTGCCCACAGGCCCCCAGTCTGACCTTCAAAAGCGACCCCTCTGCCCAATCTCCCCTAGTGGGAGCTGACACGCCCAAGGGAGGGTCTCAATCAGGAAACACACCCTCCACTCCCTATGCCAGGGTCCTGCCCTCAGGAGAGACCCCGCCCCCACCTAGCCCCCTGCTGCTGGCATTCCCCCGCCCCTCCTCCCCTCCTCTCCCACCCTCCCACATCCGTGCTCCCTGTGCTCCGTTCCCGAGGGCCCGGGCGCTGATGACCCTCCTGCCTCTTCTGCCCTCCCCCTCCCTCCCCTCCCCCACCCTCTGTCCTTCCAGTGAGTCCCTCTGCGGCCACCACGCCGAGAATCACCCGCTCCAACAGCATCCCCACCCACGAGGCGGCCTTCGAGCTGTACAGCGGCTCCCAAATGGGGAGCACCTTGTCCCTGGCCGAGAGACCCAAGGGGATGATCCGGTCAGGATCCTTCCGAGACCCCGCGGACGATGGTGAGACTTCATGGCAGCGCGGTTCACGCTCATTCCAGCTCCGCTGGGTCCCCTTCACCGCTACCACACCCGCCACCACACCTCCCACCCACCTCCGAGTCGCAGCGCATCCTCGTGGGGCCATTCAGGTCTTCCCACCCATCCCTTTGAAGGGGCTGGGGGCCCAGAAACCTTGGGGGACTCGGTGTAGCACCAGGGCTTCTAGGTAGAGCATCTGCCAACCGGCTGGGGGAGGGAAGTTGACCTAGAAGGGTTAAGCAGTAACCTTCAGAATGTTCTAGAAGCCAGGGGCTCTTGCCCCCCTGCCCCCTTCCGCTCCCTCCATCTCTCAGAACATACGGGAAGGTCACGAGACATAATGGTAGCTCTTCATCCTGGTGAAGGACTAGGCGTTGCACGTTCCGCTTTCTAGAACTTTCAAATGGTGAGCTGCAAGGAGGCCCCTGTGGTTGTTGGTGATGCTGTGTGGGTGGGTGACGACGCAGAGGCCGACAGACCAGGCTGCTCACCCAGGAGCCTCTCCTCGTGGAGGAATTGATTCTTTCAGGAGGGTTCTGCTGAATGACCCGAGAGTAGGCGAGGTGTCCAGGCGGTGCCATGGGGATGGTGCCCAGGCCCCCAGGCAGGCCCCCCCAGTCGGAGAAGAGGCGGCTGAGCAGAGCCGTGTCTTGGTTCTAAGCAGCACTCATAAGAAACCCCCCTCCTGTGCAGCGCCTCTCCCGCCCCGCACCTCCCGAGGCCCTCGGAGCAGCTGAGTGAGGGGCTGCCCTCCTCGGACTGCCCAGGGTCACGGGCGTCGGTGCCCACGGGGTCCCCTGCTCTGTGCTCTCTGCTCCAGATGCCTCCACAGTCACATTCCCCCCTCCGGTCCGAGTGCTCTTCCCTGCAGCGCCTTGTCCCCGGGGCCTCCCTCTGTTGATCGCTGTGTTCTGTTTCTCTTCCAGTTCACGGCTCGGTGCTGTCTCTGGCCTCCAGTGCCTCCTCCACCTACTCCTCAGTAAGAGCCTTCGCCCCTCTCCCCCGTCTCGCTTCCCCACCTCTGCTGCTCCCCGGAATCTTCCCTGGGGCGGGAGGGCGTGTGGAATGGCGCCCTCTGACCAGAGCCAGTTGGCTGCTTAACCTCCTGGTGGGGGGGGGGTATCTGGGCTTGCCCCCAATTCCTGGGCCACTCTGGTGCCTGGCGCTCCCCTCCTTTGAAACATGGAGAATCCCCTTTGCTCTAGAGTCTGTTTGGTGGTCAACGGGGCACATCCGTGGCCAGGTAAGTTGGGCAGCGTTCTAGAACACAGAGCCTTGCCAGAGTGGAGACCTGACACGGGTTGTGCAGACGAGGTGCTTCTTGAGTGTTTGTTCGCTCTGCCTTTGACCTGTGCTCCCGGGGGTCAGTCGGGATTCCTCCCGAGTCAAGCTCCCCGATTTCGGGCCTTCTCAGCAAAGGCAGGCTTAACTGGAGACTCTGATCTCTGTTACAAGCTGCCCTCTCTTGCTTGGGCCCTGAAGGCCCGGGAGCAGTTTCCGCCTCCTCGGCTCTTAGTCTTGGTCACTCTTCTTTGGTTGCTCTGCTTTGTCACGGAGCCTGGCTTCCTCACCTCCTAGTAACCACCCCCTTTCTCTCTCTCTGTCCTGCACACGCTTCTCCAGGCTGAGGAGAGGATGCAGTCTGAGGTAGGGGCCCAGCCTTTGTCTCCGCTTGCTAACACCACCGCTGCCTCGTTCCTCCCATGGCCAGCACTTGTCCTGCCCCCACAAGCTTGCTTGTCTCCTTCTTTCTCCCACAGCAAATCCGGAAGCTTCGCAGAGAACTGGAGTCCTCCCAGGAGAAAGTGGCCACGCTGACGTCTCAGCTTTCTGCCAACGTGAGTGCCACCCTGTGGGTGGAGACCCGGGAGGCCAGCATGGGTCCTCGGAGACATTCAGCCAAAGAGAGTGTGCTCACCAGGTGTCCCTGGGCCTTAGACTCAAGGGACAAGTTCTCCCCACAGCCCTGCCACAGGGAGTCTGGGACCTAGTTCTCCTCAAGTCCCTTGTCTCAAATTCTACGAAGAACCATTTTCTCCTTTAACCTAATTATTAGGCATGAGTTCCTATTAGACAGTTACTAGATTTTTCTAGAGATTTTGGGGGGATGGGGCTCGAGGGGGATTGGGCCACACCTAGCGATGCTCACGGGTTATTCCTGGCTTTGCACTCAGGAATTACTCCTGGCGATGCTTAGAGGACCATATGGGATGCTGGGGATCAAACCTGGGTCGGCCACGTGCAAAGTAATCACCCTACTCGCTGTACTGTTGCTCCAGTCCCTAGGTTTTCTAGAGAAAGAAGGCGGGTTAGTAATGGCTCTACATTGAGCCCAAACTGCCTTGCTCCCAAGCAGAGTCCCAAGAATGCTTTTCCACTGCCCTGGGTATGCTGGCATCTGGCCACACAGCCTTACATGAGCCTTGTCAGACTGGCCACCAGAACTCTGGTGACGTGGCATTTCACGACCCTAATGAAGAACCTAACTAACTCTCTTGGGGCCAGAGCAATAGCACAGCAGGTAATTGCTTCCCTGGCCTGTGAAAGACCCCTGATTCAAATCCCAGCACCACAAATGGTTCCCTGAGCACCAAGCCAGGCATAAGCCATGAGCCCTTCTGGGTGTTGCCCTCCAGAAAACAACACAAAATAAAACAAAACAAAGAAGCCCAATGCCCAGGCCAGGGAAAGGACCCACAGGGATATTTTGCATGTGGGAAGCCCAGGTTCAATCCCTAGTACTGGAGGGTCTCCCAGGCACTGCCCGGAATGACCCTAGCACCAAACTGAGACTAACCTTTGAACACCATCAGAGATGGCCCCAAAACAATCACTTGTCACTTGTCATCCCGTTGATCATTGATTTGCTCAAGCGGGTGCCAGTAATGACTTCATTCATCCCTGTCATGTGCTGGTGTAGCCCAGTGGCATATTGGGGGCTCTTCCAAGGTCAGGGGAATGAGGCCCATTATTGTTACCGTTTTTGGCATATCGAATACGCCACGGGTAGCCTGCCAGGCTCTGCTGCGCAGGCGGGATACTCTCGGTAGCTTGATAAATAAAATAAAATAATTCCCACGCTGATCTAACTTCATGCACAATTGCCCTTTGGGGGCGGGAGGGAGGGTTAGGGCCGTTCCCAGCGATTCTTAGGGGTTACTCCTGGCTCTATGTTCAAGAATCACTCCTGGTGATGCTCGGGGGACCATGTGGGGTACCGGGGATCCAACCTGTGTGTAAGATAAGTGCTCTCCTGCTGTATTATCTCAGGCCCCACAACTGCCCTCTCTTAGTGGCTCCCTCAGGCAGTCGGCAGAACTGATCTGAGATTTTAAGTGGGAGCCGGAATTCTCCGAGACTGGCTTCAGCTGGGCCCGTAGTTCAGATGATTTTCTCTGTGGAAGTCTTGGCTTCCCCACCTATGAGCTGGGACACAGAACAGCAGTAGCCCTGTGCGATCCCGTCCCATGTCCATCCCCACACCCCTCCCAACCCACCCCCCACCCCCTGGGACGGGGCTGCAAACAGAACGCTAGAGCCTGTTCCCCTCAAGCTGTAAACAACAGCTGAGCCGGATCTGCGGAGCTTTCCAAGTGTTTGCACAGAAATCTGCAATTTCCGCAGTTCTGGGTATTCCCCCCCCCTCTTTCTCTTCCCTTCCTCCCTAGAGAACCCAGCTGTCAGGCCTGGGGTCTTTCCCCGGAATCAGGTAGGAAATGATCGCTGGGGACCAGAGAGATGTAGAAGCAAGAGGCCACAGCTTTGAGGTACTTGCCTTGCACACAGTTGACCCGGGTTGGATCCCCAGCATTACATATGGTCCCCTGAGCACTGCCAGGAGTGAACCCTGAGCACAGAGACAGGAGTAAGACCTGAGCCCTGCTGCGTGTGGCCCAAAAAGAAAGAGAGGGAGAAAGGAAAAAGGGGAGAGGAAAAAAGAGTGAGCGACAGAGGAGAGGAGGCGGAGGGAGGAAGGGAAAGGAAAGTCTCCAACAGCACCGTGGCAGTGTCATCCCCAGGCTGGCTATTCTTGACCCAACGACAGTCCACGAAAGGGGCTTATACCACTTTGTTTTGTGCTTCTATCAAGAACTTTAGTTTTGTTTTGTTTGGAGGCCACACCCAGCGATACTCAGGACTTCCTCCTGACTTCGCATTTAGAGAGCACTCCTGGTCAGCTGGGGGGTCCTCATGAGATGCCAGGGATCCAGTCTAGGTTGGCCAGGTGCAAGGCAAGCGCCCCACCTGCTGTGCTATCTCTCCGGCCCCTCTGTCAAGCACTTCTTTCATTCCTGGGGACCATAAGAATTACAACAAAAACGGTCTCTTCACTCCCTGGTGACTCGCCCTCCCAGGCCCATGGCTGGGGTGCATCCTGCACATCCCAGGATTTCCACACCGGGAGCTGCTGTCGGGGGCAGGCTGCCAGGAGACAGAGAGCAGCCCCATGTCAGGGCCCTGTGCATGGCGGCCGTCAGGCTGTCGAGGCTGGGCAGGAGCCAGAAAATGAATTTAGAGAGTGATTTTTCTAAGAAGGGGAAGTTCCCTTTGGCTGAGAGAGAACAAACTGCAACACCCCAGACAGGCAGGTTCTGAATTTTCAGGTCAGACTGTTGCTGACGGTCAGGGCCCTGCCCTCAGACAAGGAGATGTGAGGCCTAACCTTTGGGGTGTCAGGGTGTTCCCCCAGCCCCCATTTCACATAGCGCTCTTGTCTCATTCCTTGGACCTTCCAGGGTCCGAACTGAAGACACACCCAAGTTAGGGAGCCCTGCTGCAGTGTGCGTTAGCCGGGGTCGAGGCTGAGACGGAAGGTTCAGAGGATGGAGTGGACATTTGGGGGAGTGAGAGCTCCTCCAAGCCCAGGCAGGCCCAAGGAGGAGGCCTGCCCGGAACCCACAGTATCATTTGCGTCTCCATAGACTGGAGGCCATGCAGGGAGAGATTTCCTGAGAAGGGCGAAAGTGCAGTTGCCCAGGGGTGCAGTCGCCGTTCTGGGGGGCTCAGTGGCTGGGCCCGGCCGATTGACGGCCCCCCGGGAACCACCTTTCAGTGAAAGCATCTCCAGGCACAGTTCAAGGGCAGAAGGAGGAAACTAGAGCAGGCAGGGAGAAGATTTCGGTGGCAGGAAGCAGGGAAGCGTAGCACATGCCCAAGCTCCGGACCTAGGACCTGCCCAGAATCTGCCCCTCGCTCCTTGCTCCTATCACTGAGGGTGCCCAGCCCTGCACCTCCTCCCTTCTTGCCTCTTGTTGCCAGTTGAATAGCTGCAGCCCAGGCTCCTAGTGGCCCCTTGCCCTGCCCCCTAGTTCTCCAGGGCTCCTCCATGCCCCCATGAAGCACATCTGACATCTAGTGGCCAAGCTGTGCCATGCACCTAAGGTCCCTGATCGGCTTCTCTAGTTGTGCCCTAGGGAAGGGCCAGCCTGGAGCCAGAAGTGGGGGCAGGTGCCGGGCAGTGCTGTCAGCTGGGAAGTGATTCTCCCCCTGTCGAGACCGGTCTCCCTTCACACTGTTCAGCCAAACAGGATGGGACACTGAGCAGAGGACAGTCCCACCTCCGATAAACGATCTGGTGCCACATCTTCCAGAGCCTTCCCAAACCCCATTCTGCCCACATGCCCCCTGTACCACTTTGTTATTGTGCATGCTGGTGAAATAGTCACTATAGCAAGTTGGTGTGAGAATTCTTCGAGTGGGTCGGCTCTGAGACACAGAAGCATCCCGAACCTCTTCTGGTGTTGCTGCCACCCTTCCCTGTCTCTGGCAACTGAGGTGTCTCCCTGGGTTTCAGGCGAATCTCGTGGCGGCCTTTGAGCAGAGCCTGGTGAACATGACATCCCGCCTGCGGCACCTGGCAGAGACGGCAGAGGAGAAGGTGAGAGGTCTGGCTTGGCCGGGGTCCCCTGGGTGAACACCTAAGGCCCAGCACCCCCTGCTCCCCTGAGAGCAGTTTATCCCGCCCTTCCTGTCCCCTTGAACCCTCCCCTCAGTTCTGATGTCCTGGCTCCCTTCTGCCCTTGTCCTGGGGGCTCACCCTTCGCCAGCTGCATGGCGGTGTTCCCCATTCACACCCAGTGGCCTACGTTCCTCCCACAGGACACGGAGCTCCTGGACTTGCGGGAAACCATCGACTTCCTGAAGAAGAAGAACTCTGAGGCGCAGGCTGTCATTCAGGGAGCCCTTAATGCCTCAGAAGCCACCCCCAAAGGTAGGTCCTTCAGCCACACTGGAGGGAGGACAGGAAGGGATGTTCTTATAGGTTTCATCCATGCCCTGGGATACCAGGCATCACATAGGGTGTCTTGAAGGTGCCAGTCCCAAGCTTCTGCCCTTCAGCGTGGAACTCTGGGCTGGGCAGAGACCCCTGGTCCTGGGGCTAGAGCAGTAGTACAGCGGTAGGGCATTTGCCTTGCATGCAGCCCACCTGGGTTCGATCCCTGGCATCCCATATGGTCCCCCAAGCACAGAACTAGGAATAACCCCTGAGCACCACCAGGTATGGCTCCAAAACAAAACCCCTGATCCCCTAGGGTCTTTCTAGAACCTTCTCTCAGTAGGCAGAGTGCACTCTCAAATACTGCTTTGTTCTTATGAAACTAAAAGTGATCTTCCTGTACAGTCCAGTGCTGTCCAGCAGCCATAGCCCTGGGAGCCCGCTGGGAGGAAATCACAGAGCTGTTCACAGGAGTCCTAAACAGCCGATTTAGAATCAGCCCCGCATGAAAGCAACCAAGATGCCCTTCAGTGGGTGAACGGGCAATCTGTGCTGTGGCCAGGCAATGAAGTATTTATTCACAGTCACGGTCCTCCCGTTGTTCATCGATTTGCTCGAGCGGGCCCAGTAACATCTCCATCGTGAGACTTGTTGTTACTGTGTTTTGGCATATCGAATACATCACAGGTAGCTTGCCAGGCTCTCCGAGAGGGGCGGAGGAATCGAACTCGGGTTGGCCATGTTGGCTGCGTGCAAGGCAAACGCCCTACCGCTGTGCTATCGCTCCAGAAGTATTCATTAACTCTAAAAATAAATGAGGGAGGGGCTGGAGTGATAGCACAGCGGGTAGGGTGTTTGCCTTGCATACAGCTGACCCAGGTTCAATTCCAAGCATCCCATATGGTCCCCCGAGCACTGCCAGGAGTAATTCCTGAGTGCATGAGCCAGGAGTGACCCCTGTGCATCTCCAGGTGTGACCCAAAAATCATAAATAAATTAATAGAAATGAGGAAGCCCAGAGATAATACAGCTGCTCAGGTGCTTGCCTTGCTTGCTCCTCACCAAGGTTCAATCCCCAGCACCTCGTATGGTCCCCGAGCCCTGAGCACAGAAGGGTGTGGCCCAACTCCCCTTCCACCCCACCAAAGGAGAAAACAAAAGCACAAAAAGAAACGAACTACCAAACTGTGGAACACATGAGGGAATCTTAAATCGATGTGTTTGAGTGAAACAAGCCCATCAGAAAAGGCTCTGCAGGGGCTGTGTAGTATCAGAAAACGCCTAGATGCTCTGGAACCCCAGATTACTGGAAGGATCTCCAGGTCCCCTGGGCACTGCAGGGGCCATGATTCACCTATGCGCAAATCCACTTTCTTTCAAACGGTGGCTGCAGGTGACACATTGTCAGCAATATTTCATTCGGGAAAGAGTCTGGCTACAGTGAAAAAGGAGGATGGGGAAGCTGGATGACTCTTGGCCCCACAGTATAGGGAGGAGAAGGACAGAGATGGAAAGAAATTGAGGCGGGGCGGAAGAAACAGGCAGGAAGGGGGAACAAGGGCCCAGGGGACCTGAGTACATCAGGGCCATGCGGGAGGCGACCAGGGCTACAGCTAAATATCCGGACCAGAGTCCACAGTACTGAAAATATAAGATCCAAACTTTCCAAGGTGCCTGCAAAGGTGGCAGACTGGGAGTGGGGTCAGGGTAGGCGAGAGGGAACCTGGGAGGTGATGAGCACGCTGGTGGGACCGCTGCTGGAACTCAGTGTGTCGAAAACCCAATCACGAATAACTTGGTAAATCAGGGGCCTTTACTACAATTTTTTTTCTCTTTGGGTCACAACCTGGTGATGCATAGGGGTTACCACTGGTCATGCTCGGAGGACCATATGAGACGCTGGGAATCGAACCCTGGTTGACTGCGTGCAAGGCAAATGCCCTACTAGCTGTGCTATCGCTCCAGCCCCTAGTAAAATTTTTTAAATTAAAAAATAAATTAAAAAAAATACAACCCCTATGTACGTAATCCTAATGTAAGAGGCAGCGGTGAGCATGTGGTGTTTGTCCTGTGTTGAGACCAGGCTGTTAGGCTGTTGAGGCAGGTGGGGGGGGTTGAAAAAAAGAGCCCCCCGAGAGAGGAAGGACGTGTCACTCTAACCTGTATGGCTGATAGTGCCTTATGCCATGGGACTCCACATCCCTGGGGGAATAGTGACCCCATCCTCAGTGAGGCAGAGGCTGTTCTTGGGCTTCCAAAGTCAGCACGCCACCCAACACAGTGACATGATTAGAAAAATTCCCTGTGGTCCTTGGACCTCTGGGCTGAGCATTGTCGGGAATGACTCCTGTGAAAAATAAGTAAATAATTTAAAAGGGTGGGCTGGAGCAATCGCATAGTGGGTAGGTCATTTTCCTTGCAAGCGGCCAGCATGGCCGACCCGAGTTCGATTCCTCCGCCCCTCTCGGAGAGCCCGGCAAACTATCAAGAGTATCTCACCCGCATGGAAAAGCCTGGCAAGCTACCTGTGACGTTTTCAATATGCCAAACACAGTAACAAGTGTCACAATGGTGATGTTACTGGGCCCGCTCGAGCAAATCGATGAACAACGGGAGGACAGTGACAGTGACATTTTAAAAGGGTGAATGGTGAGCCTCAGAAATGTGGGGCATTTGCCTAGCACTCATTCAACCCAGGGTCCATCTCCAGCATCCCCTATGCCTCTCCCTCCCCAGTTTTACCAGAGTAATTCCTGAGTGCTGAGCCAGAAATAAGCCCCCTGGCCTCGCCTCTCTTCCTTCATAAGCCCTTCCTGTCTTCTTTCCACTTGAACTTGACCTAGAACTTCGGATCAAGAGACAGAACTCCTCAGACAGCATCTCGAGCCTCAACAGCATCACCAGCCATTCCAGCATCGGCAGTGGCAAGGACGCTGATGCAAAGAAGAAGAAAAAGAAGAGTTGGGTAGGTGAGGGTTTGCGGGGAGGGCATGCTAGATCCTTCCGGGGGTCACCAAGCTGGAGTCCGTGTGACACCGCACCCCTGTCTAAGGTCGCTCCGAGCAGAGATGTGAAGCTCCTCTCCCTGTCACCCCCTGCTTGTCCGACGCCCACCCTCGGCCTTCAGCCCTGCCTCCTTCCCTCGGGCTCACCAGACATTGGGCCAGGTCGAATGTGTGTGGCAGCAGAAAGGAGCAGAGGAGGTAGCCGAGAGGGAGCATCTCATCCCCGCCCTCCCCTCCCCACTCTGCAGAGGAGAGAGTTGTTATGAGCCAAGCCATTCTCTTGATGCGCCAGGGCGCCCTTGCTCCTTCTGGAAAGTCATCGCTGTCTTTCCCGAAGATGTCCCAAAGAACCTGTGTCAGGCCCGACTGGTCCAGAGCTCATGCAGAGAACCCTGGGCGGGCTCTGAATGGCCTCTCTGAGACTCTTCGGGCAGGTTTAGGACTCTGGGAGCCTCTGCCCCTCCCAGAGCCTCCGTGGCCCGCCGGCACGCAGACCCCCGGGCGATGCAGACCCCAGATATGTGCATTGAGTGACTAAGTGTTGCTTCTTTTTTTTCCCCCCGTTCCCTTCAAAATGCTGACTTCACATCCCTATTTTTTTCCAGGTCTATGAGGTAAGAGACCCAGTTCCTCTCCCCTTATTTCCTCTTTCCCTTTGCCATACCTCCCACATTCCCAGAGCACCCCCGACCCCCTCTGAAGAGAATGGTCACTCATAACACTAACCATAACACCCTCCACCTCGAGCTCCTGACTCGCTCCACTGCATGGTTCATCCACGGCAGCCCCACGCGAGGACAGAGGAGTGGTCTGGTTGGGGTTCAGGGGAGGCGTGATCTGTGCCCCAGAGACTCCCCCATTGCAAAGCCAGCCTGTCCTAAGACCAAAGTGAACGCTTCTGGAGAGAGCTTCTGCTGTGGCATGGCAGCAGGTTTAGAAGCTGCACCAGGTGAACATTATCTTGACCACAGTGGACCACATTCAGTCCGGGCTCAGCCCGGAGACCTGGGGACCATCCAGGGAGAGTGAGGAACATGCCGGGGCCCTTCAGCTCCCTTCAAGCATCCCTGGCACTTCGGGGATCAGAGCAGAGTCTGGGACACACTGGATTCAGAATTTTCCTGACATACCAGACGTCACTAAGATCTGCTCTCACTCCAGCCAGCATCGTCTTGGTGCTTGGAAGGATGTGGAAAATGGGGTCTGAGGTCTCAGCCCCAAGGGTCTTCCCTGCAGAATTGTGAGAGAGACCAGGAAATGATATTGCACATAAATGCCCATCACTACCCCAGGGGCCCACAGGCTTTCATTCGGTCAGCAAACGTTCAGGGTAAAAACCAAACCAGGACGGGAGAAAGGAGCATGTTGAATTCCCTGTGTAGACAGAAGAGAGGAGCGTGTCAGAACTCCCTGTGTAGACAGTGGAAAAGAGGAACATGTCAGAACTCTATGTAGACAGTGGGAAAGAAGAGAGTGTTGAAACTCCCTTTGTAGACAGTGTCTCTTACATGGAGCTGAGTGGGGAGTTTCAGTCCCTCAGAGCAATGAGCTCAGTTCTTCAAGTCATTCCCAGGCTGTTCTCTATACCCCCTGGAAATGCTGTTTTAAAGGGAATCCATGACCCCTTGTGGAGCTGCTGAGTCAGTCCCCGTAATCAGTGGGAGACATCACATCCAAACCCCCTGACATCCCGGGATGCATACTGCAGGGTCAGGCTCCATCCCTGACCATGCATGGTCCCCCATGCACCTTGGATGTGCGCCCCACCCATCCCCATAAAGATAAGTCTCACTTCCTTGTTGCTTGACCTATTGTTTCCTGAATTCATTTTGCCACAAAATCCTGAAATACATAACACCCGTCAGCATCTCTGCTGAACACAGTTCTCACTTGGGGTAGTTCTGGAAGCCTATGGACACAGACCTCTTTCTGCGTGCATACGTGCGCGTGCACACACACACACACACACACACACACACACTTACACACTCACACACTCACACACACATACACACTCGTATGCAGACATACTTATACACACTCACACACTTACACACACACTCACACACACACACACACACACACACACACACACACACACCCTTTCCAGGAAACAACAGTGTCTCTGGGTTAAAGTGAGGAAGGGGTAGTGTGGGGGGAATCGCCCGTGGTCTTCCTTCACTTACAACCTCTTGGCTGTCTTGAGGAATCTCGAAGAGTCCTGTGAGAAGCTCTCTTGAGCTGCCCAGGGACAGGCTGTCGCCACTCACATCCCCCTCAGAGCCATGTCCGTCTTCTGCGTCCTCCCTAGTGGAACCCCACCTGGCCCGTCAGCACTAGCTGGGCCCAGGAGTGACCCTTTGGCAGAGCACCTCAGGGGGTCCCTTCCTTCCTCTCTCCCCCCAGTGACCTGGCTCGCCTCTGCCCTCTCTCGCCTCGTTCCCCTCCTTTCCTCACTGTCTTTGGCTGCCGTCCATGTCTGTGTCCCTCTGCGTGTGTGCATGTTGTATGGATGCATGGCGCGGGCGGGGGTCACGTCCTGGTTTGCTAACACCCGAGGCCTGCCCACACCTCAGAGCAAACACGCTGCTTCCTCGGCGATTTCCCCAGGACAGATCCCGCATCCTGGAACATGGGAGTGGAAGGAGTGGTCAGCAGCTGGCCCTAGCTGACTGCTTTCCACGTGCCAGTATAGGCCGAGCCTCAGAGCCACGACAGGATACCTGCAGGCCTCTCTCTGGTGACCTCCGGCGTCACCGTCTCAGATTCCGGTGGCCAGAGGGATCCGGTCCGCTGTGTGCAGGCAGATCCTGGGCCGACTTAAGCTGTTTCTGGCCTTCTGGAGGAGGCGGGATTGGCCCGCTGAGAGGCCAACCATGAGGGCTGGCCAGGGGAGTGTTTAGGGGACGTTCTCTCCGTTGCTCTCTGAACCCAGTTTTTTTTTGGGGGGGGGGTCATACCCGATGATGCGCAGGGATTACTCCTAGTTCATGCACTCAAGTATTACTCCTGACAGTGCTCTGAGGACCATATGGGATGCTGGGAATCGAGCCTGGGTCAGCCGCGTGCAAGGCAAACGCCCTACCCGCTGTGTGCTATCACCCCAGCCCTTCTGAACCCAGTTTCTCGTTAGAGAGAGAAGACCCTATGGCAGCAAGCCAGAATATTCCACTCTGGCTCTCAGTCCTGATTCAGAAGCTCTTAGGTGCCTTGTGCCTGAGGCCTATGGCAGGAGGCGAAGGGAAGCAAATGAGGCCCTACCTCGGGGCCTCTGTCTCAGACCCCCAGGCCCGAGTGCCCCTCCCCACCATGGGCGCCCTGACGTCTTGCTCCTGTCTCTGCTTTCTTCTAGCTCCGAAGCTCCTTCAACAAAGCCTTCAGCATCAAAAAGGGCCCCAAGTCTGCTTCCTCCTATTCGGACATCGAGGAGATCGCCACCCCCGACTCCTCAGCGCCCTCCTCACCCAAGCTCCAACACGGCTCCACCGACACGGCCTCACCCTCCATCAAGTCCTCCACCTCGTCCTCCGTGGGCATCGATGCCACCGAGTAAGTGCCCCTGGCAGCATGCCGTCCAGCCTTGGGCCAATGGCAGCCTCTGGTCAGGTTAGCAGGGAGTCCAAAAGAACCCTGGGCCCGGAGCTGGGAAGATGGGCCAATGAGCACAGGCTCTGTATGCAGGAGGCCTGGGGCGTCCCCTGTGTACTCCCAGGAGTAGCTCCCAAGCATAGAGCTGGGAGTGACCCCTGAGCACTGCCAGGTGTGACCCAGAAGCAAAATTGAACTGGAGAAATAGGACAGCAGGAAGGGCATTTACCTTGCATGTGCCAGACCCAAGTTCGATTCCCAGCACCCTGTATGGCCCATATGAGCCCGGCCAGGAGTAATTCCTGAGTGCAGACAGAGCCAGGAGTAAACCCTGAGCATGACTGTGTGTGGCTCCCCACCCCCTCCCAAAAAGAAACAAAATCTAAAAAGAATGAACAATGCCCACTCACATCTTTTCCTGGGCCTGTGAGACCAAGAGTCAGGCCTGTCCCCTCACTGCTGATTGGATAACTGTGGACAGAGGAACCCCAGCTTTCTTCCAACAGCAGGCCTCAGCATCACCTAGTGGTTCTAGCACATTCCACGTCTCCTGGCCTGATGGACCACTGCTTCCCACCAGGGCCCCTGCTCACCCAGCCCCCCACACTCGGCTGTTCCAAGCCAATGAGGAGGAGGAGCCCGAGAAGAAGGAGGTGTCGGAGCTTCGCTCGGAGCTGTGGGAAAAGGAGATGAAGCTGACGGACATCCGTCTGGAAGCCCTCAACTCAGCCCACCAGCTGGACCAGCTGCGGGAGACCATGCACAACATGCAGGTCAGCGTCCTGGCGGGCTTGGGTGGAGAAGTGGGCGGGGCAATGGGCAGGGCCTGGACAGGGCCCTGCCAGGAGCCTGCACCCCCTCCCAACCCTCATCTCCTCTGCCCGCAGTTGGAGGTGGACCTGCTGAAGGCAGAGAATGACCGGCTGAAGGTCGCCCCGGGCCCCTCAGCGGGCTCCACTCCAGGGCAGGTCCCTGGGTCATCTGCACTGTCCTCCCCACGCCGCTCCCTGGGCCTCACCCTCACCCATTCCTTCAGCCCCAGCCTCACAGACACAGGTACAGGGTGGGGTGGGAGTGGAATGAGCCGCCCCGGGTGGGCATTCCTGCTGGGTCTGACACTCACCTGTGGGACGCTCTAGAGTTGGGGCAGGAAGCTGCCAGCAGATGCTGTGTCATGCCACCCTGGAGTGGTTCTGGTTCTCTGGTCTTAGCTCCATTAGGGAGTGGTGGGAGGGGCCACACCCAGCAGTGTTGGGGTCACTTCCAATGGCATGTGGAGCTGTCTGAGAGCTCAGGCTCCAGCCTGTTGAGCTGTGTTTTGTTTGTTGCTTTTGGGTCACACCTGGTAATACTCAAGGGCTATTCCAGGCTCTGCCATAAGGAATCAGTTCTATTATGCTCAGGGAATCATAGAAATATCAGGGATCAATCCCAGGTGGCTGTAAGCAAGACGGGTGCCTTATCCAGCCCCTGTTGAGCTGTCTTTAGCCCCCTCGACTTCTTGGTCAGTGAGAGGAGAGGTGCCAGGTTGACAGCACAGCAGACAGGGCACTGACTTTGCACACATTCACCCAGATTTTTTTTTCTTTTTTTTTTTTTGGTCACACCCAGCGATGCTCAAAGGTTACTCCTGGCTCTGCACGCAGGAATTACTACTGGTGGTGCTTGGGGGACCATATGGGATGCCGAGGATTGAACCCAAGTCTGCCACGTGCAAGGCATACGCCCTACCCACTGTACTATCAAAGCTGGCCCTTCACCCAGCTTTGATTAACCTCATTTGGTGCCCCAAGCACTCCCAGGAGTAGCCCCTGAGCGCTGTCAAGTGTGGCCCAAAACCAACCAAAAAAAAAAAAAAAGAAGAAGAAGAAGAAGAAAGGAAAAGAAAAGTCAGTGAAGTCCACTCAATGCAAATCCTTCCACCAGGGAGATAGTACAATGGGGAGGACACTTGCCTTACAGGTCGATCTCCGGCATCCCAAAGGGTCCCCTGAGCACTGCTAAGAGTGATTCCTGAGTGCAGAGCCAGGAGTAAGCTCTGAGCAGCACCGAGGGTCACCCCATAACCCAAACAAACCCTCCCCGTGCCCACAGACCTCTCGCCCATGGATGGCATCAGCACATGTGGCCCCAAGGAGGAGGTGGTTCTTCGGGTGGTGGTGCGGATGCCCCCACAACACATCATCAAAGGGGTAAGGAGCGTCTGGGAGGGCCTGTGGCATCGCCCAAACCTGCATCCTACCCTGTTTGGGCCCTCTGTTCCTCACTACCACCCATGCTTTCTGCCTTGCCCTTGCAGGACCTGAAGCAGCAGGAGTTCTTCCTGGGGTGCAGCAAGGTCAGCGGGAAGGTGGACTGGAAGACGCTGGATGACTCCGTTTTCCAGGTGTTCAAGGTAATGATTCTCTGCCGTGCTACCGGCTCTCAGGCCTTGGGACAGGGAGTCGGGTGGGCGTGGCCACCCTTGATGCCGCGGAGAACAGAATTGCTCCTGGCTGCCCAGTGCAGCTCTGACTGGGTGCCCCTCTGCTCTGTGTTGCCTTTCCTGCCCCTGATGGTCACTCACCATTGTTCCTTTCTCTTGCGCCAGGACTATATTTCCAAGATGGACCCAGCCTCCACGCTGGGCCTGAGCACCGAGTCCATCCATGGATACAGCCTCAGCCACGTGAAACGGGTGTTGGATGCGGAGCCCCCTGAGCTGCCTCCCTGCCGCCGAGGGGTCAATAACATCTCTGTCTCCCTCAAAGGTCAGTCTTGGTCTTGTGAGAGGCAGTGACCGGGGGTGATGGGAGGTGGGGCAAGTCATTGCACTTTTTTTTCTTTTTGGGTCACACCCAGCGATACTCGGGTTACTCCTGGCTCTGCACTCAGGAATTACTCCTGAAGGTGCTCAGGAGACCATATGGGATGCCGGGGATTGAACCCGGGTCTGCTGCTTACAAGGCAAACACCCTACCCGCTATGCTATCACTCTGACCCTGAGGCATTACACTTTAAGCCCACAAGTATTGATCACTGCAGTGGGGTCATGTCCGTGCTTGGGAATCAGGCCAAAGCGAGATAAGTGGCACCTAACCTGTGTACCCCGGGGACTTCATTGGAAAATGTTTGCCAAGCCTGGGTTCTCCCAGCACCTGATGTTTTCAGCATCATTAAAGATTCACCTTTCCAGGGCCAGAAACAGTACAAAGAATAAGGTGCTTACCGTGCACATAGCTGACCCCGGTTCAATCCCTGGCACTGCATATCATCCCCAAGCTTGACCAGGAGTGATCCCTGAGCACAGAGTCAGGAGCACCACTGGGTGTGGCTCAGATCCCTTCCATTCCCACCAGGGTGGGGTGGGGGGGGGGGAGATTGACTTTTTTAGAAGAGGGAAGGGCAGGGTGGTAACTCTAGCAGTTGTTGGGTGCAGGCTTTGCACACAGGAGGCTGGGTTTGACCCCTGAGCACCGCATAGCAGGTGGCCAGCATGTTCTCAGCAGGCCCCTCGGTGAAGCCCGCCAGCTTCCGAGCAGGCTTCTTCGGAGCCCCGCAAGACTCACGCCTTCTGGGTATGGGGCTCAGGTCTGAAGGAGAAGTGCGTGGACAGCCTGGTGTTCGAGACGCTGATCCCCAAGCCCATGATGCAGCACTACATCAGCCTCCTGCTCAAGCACCGGCGCCTCGTCCTCTCGGGCCCCAGTGGCACGGGCAAGACCTACCTGAGCAATCGATTGGCCGAGTACCTGGTGGAGCGCTCGGGCCGCGAGGTCACGGAGGGCATCGTCAGCACCTTCAACATGCACCAGCAGTCTTGCAAGGTCCTGCCGCCCCCACCTCAGGCCCCGAGTCCCCGCCCCTTTTTTCGTGCTCCCTCCAGCCTCCTTTGCTCATCTGCTGCCTCCGTCTACCCTTCATATTCTCCCGCCCTGCCCTGTCCTGCCCCTGGTTTCTTTCCAGACTTGCCCTTCCTGCCTCTTCCACACATTCCCTTTCCTCTCTGAACTTCTGTCCCTTAGAGGGCCCTTTACCCTGTGTCCTCCATGGCTACCTTCCTCGCTACCAGTCCCTACCTGCTATCCCTACTCTTCCCGGTTTCCCTATCACTGCTGTGTTGGGGTCAAAAGAAACTATCTGAATTAAATGTTGCATAAATTTTGCAACATGTTGCAATATGTTGCAATATGATGCAGTTGGACAGATACTGGTGGGTCTTGAGCAACAGCCTAACACTCCCTGGTTAGAGACCCATTGGGGTTACCCACCCCAGAGGAAAATCTGTGTAGGAAATACTGTGTTCCCTATCTTTAGGGGTGGAAGGCGCATCTAGGAAAGTTTCTGGTCGTTGGCTTCTACAAGCAGATGTTCAAGTGTTTCCCGCAAGAACCAAAGCCCAGGAGTATAGCCTGACATCACCAGGGCTGACCCAAACAAACAAAGCCAGAACTCAAGTGGTAATGCAGGATACCTTCCGTACTGACCTGGAGCCTTCTCTCCTCCAGGACCTGCAGCTGTATCTCTCCAACCTGGCCAACCAGATAGACCGGGAAACCGGGATCGGCGATGTCCCCTTGGTGATCCTGCTGGATGACCTGAGTGAAGCAGGCTCCATCAGCGAGCTGGTCAATGGGGCCCTCACCTGCAAGTACCACAAATGGTAAGCCAGAGTCAGCCCGAGCTCACGCGGGTGGGAAAGTCGGGGAGGAAAGGCAGCCTGCTCCACCTCTGCCAACTTCCGGGGGCTGCACACGCGGACAGAGGTGTTGAGACGAGTCCAAGTGAACCTGTTTTTCTTCTTTCTCCCTATAGCCCCTATATCATAGGCACCACCAACCAGCCTGTAAAAATGACCCCCAATCATGGCTTGCACTTGAGTTTCAGGTAAGGACCAGGATCCTGGGGCACCTTCCCATCCTGACATCTGTGAAATCCCAGGATCTGCCCCAAGGGGGCAGTAGTGAGAAGGCCGTGATGGGGGGTGGGGGGGCGGTTACCCTCAGGAATCAGTAGGGGTATTGGCATGGAGCTGACATGGGGCTGGTGGGAGGCAGGCCCTAGAAGAGGAAAAGGGGTGCAATTTGGAGAGATGCCGTGGAATTGCTGTAATGCGGACTCTGCTGCCCCCACACTCTTCATCTGGGCTACAGCAGGCAGAGGTTTATCTGAAGAGGATCCCGATTTGAGTGAGAATCAGCCTTGCCTGCCCAGAATTGGTGCCCACCCCCCTCTTTTAAGCTCAGTTGACCACCGCAGCCCCCTGTTACTTGAGGAGAAACCCAACAGGCATCAGTTGGAGTGGGCGGCACAGACCCCACCCGTCTTCCCGCTGAGGCACGCTCACCCTCTGCCCCCCTTCCCTGCGGCAGAATGCTGACCTTCTCCAACAACGTGGAACCGGCCAACGGCTTCCTGGTCCGTTACCTGCGGAGGAAGCTGGTGGAGTCGGATAGCGACATCAATGCCAACAAGGAGGAGCTGCTGCGGGTGCTCGACTGGGTGCCCAAGCTGTGGTACCATCTCCACACCTTCCTGGAGAAGCACAGCACTTCCGACTTCCTCATCGGTACTGGGGCTCGGTTCCCCCTCTGCCCCCAGCTGTCTGCAGGGCGCTGACCTTTCCCTGCCCTTTCTTTCTGGTGGTTTCGGCCCAGGAAGGAGCTGTATGTCTTGTGGCCTTTGACTTAGAACCAGTCAACAGCTTCACGAGCCTTCCCAGTACACATAGTAGGTCATTTACTTCCTAGCACACATAGTAGGTCACTTTTGCCATCAGCAGTCTATTTCCCCTGGGCTGTTTTCCCATAGTTAATGGGGAGGAGGCAGCAAAGTACGTTGGAGGGAATTGCAAAGCCACCCCACCCCCTATCACACGTCCCCCCTGTGAAGCATTATTTATAAGAGGGACTCACCCAGACATCAGCTCTCACTGGCAGTCAACAGTCCCCACAGAGTCCAAAACATTTCTCTCAGTCCTTTGCTTCTCCTTAGCAAACAGGTAAGAGGAAACAGGTAAGAAAGGCCAGGCACGAGCTGGAGTGGGGGGGAGAGGTGCTTGGCTTAAATGCCACAGGTCTGGAGTCCACACCTGGCACCCCTTATTTATGGTCCACAGTACCAGCATGGCCAAAAACAACAACAACAAAAACAAAACAAAGAAAGGCCAAACATGTGCTTAGTGCAGTGCTTGCCTCAGAGGAGCGAGGGCCAGGAGTAACACCACAAACAAACCAAAGCAGCAAAGAGGCGCCAAGCTTGGTCTCTGGCCCCTCCATGAACGGCTCATCCTTCCCGCTAGGCCCGTGCTTCTTTCTGTCCTGTCCCATTGGCATTGACGACTTCCGGACCTGGTTCATTGACCTGTGGAACAACTCCATCATCCCCTACCTACAGGAAGGAGCCAAGGACGGCATCAAGGTGAGCCCCCACTCTGGTCTGCTCAGCACCCCCACCAGTCCTGTGGGTGCGAGCCATGGCGCCAGTGAGAGTGAGGAACTGCTCAGCGACTGAGGAGCTGCCGCAGAGACAGATGGAGCTCCAGCTCAGACTCCTTCATCAAACGGCTTTCAGACCCCCGAGTTGCGGGAAATGTCTCCAGGCCTCCGTCTTCTGACTCTGCACCAAACTCAGACCATTCTCAGGGATCAGAGCGAATAGAGAAGTAACTGAGCTAAGAATCAGCCGGGCGTATCACAGTAATTTGTTACTTAGGCGCTGGGGATTGTGGCCCAGCATTAGAACACATGTGAGGCCCTGGGCTTGATCCTAGCACAGCTAAAACAGTGACATTGCACAAGTTGCTTAAAGTACTTCAACAAGGAAGGAAGGAAGGAAGGAAGGAAGGAAGGTTGGAAGGAAGGCAGGAAGGAAGGCAGGCAAGCAGGCAGGCACACAAGCTTAAAAATTGATTTGTTTTGGGGACTGGAGTGATAGTACAGTGGGTAGAGCATTTACTTTGCACATGTTCACCTTGTTCAATCCCCAGCACCCCTGGCCTTTCCCCCCACCCCCCACCAAATGGTTTTAAATGAAATGAAATATGTAGGGGTCACAGAGAGACTGGACTTGAGGTGCTTGCCTTATGTGAATCCTGGCACCGCAGGTGGCCCCGAAGTATCAGCAGAAGTCATCCTTGATGCTGGAGGCTAGGAAATGCCTGGGGTGGCCCCCAAATGCCATCTCCCCATCATTCCACCCAAAAGAAAAAAATTGCCAGGAAAAAATTTTAAGTCAGAAATGGGAATCTTTATTTAAATAGCATAGTCTTGGTTTCTTTAATGTTGTAAAAAGAAAAAGAATGCAAAACAAGCACCCTATCATCTGTACTACTGCTCTGGCCCAGTTATTGTTTTCTAATTTAAAGTATTTGAACACACCTGTCACTTGTTTCCCAGACAGTCAAGGGGCTTAGGAAGAGGTCGAACACTTGCCTAGCACTCTCCAGTGCTATGCAGTGCCCCCAGGTATCACCAGGACTGAACACTATTGGGTGTGATGCCCACAACCATTGTTTAAAAAGAAAGTAGGGCTGGAGAGATGCTTGCTTTGCATTTGGGAGACTCAGTTTCCACCTTCGTTCATCACCCCACGATCCTCAAGTCAGCGGCCACCCCTAACACCCCTGGATAAGAGCTGGAGTACATAGTTTGCATGGGGGATCTCCAGTTTGATCCCCACATAAATGATCCTTCAGCACCTCAAAACAAAAGAAAAATAAAAAATTTTAAGGTACTGTGATATATGTCAAGAATTTTCTGTTTAAAAGTAAAATTCACTGAAGATTTATACATCCGAGTTTTAATACTATCTGCTGAATTATCCCCACATGGTTTGCCCAGTCTGTGCAACTTATTTTTCTCGTTAAGAAACTCAGAGGTGGGTCTGGAGCAATAGTATCCTGGGTAGAGCATTTGCCTTGCACAAGGCTAACCCAGGTTTGATCCCTGATACTCCATATGGGTCCTCAAGCCCTGCCAGGAGTGATCCCTGAGTGCAGAGCACCGAGTATGGGTGTGTCCCCGACACCCCTCCCCCCCAAAAAAAGGAAGAAAAGAAACTCGGGAGGGGCCAGAGCAATAGTACAATGAGTAGGGCACTTGGCTTGACCCTGACACCCTATCCCCCACCTGACCCCCCCCCAAAAAAAAAAAAAGAAAAAAGAAACTCAGAGGAGGGCTAGAACAATAGTACAGGGGGTAAGGCGCTTGGCTTGTGCATGGCTGACCTGGGTTCAATCCCTGACACTGCCATTTGGTCCCCTGAGCCCCCAGGAGTGGTCCCTGAGCTCAGTGTCAAGAGTAAGACCTGAGCATTGCTGGGTGTGGCCCAGCAAAGAAACTCAGAGGAAACTGCCCAGGCAGAGATCAGGGCCTGGAGGCCTGACATCAGGGAAGTTCCTGTCACCGTGGGGGGTTGGATGGATCCGGAAGACCGAACTTGCGTCCTTTACCTTGTCCTCGCTCTCCTCCTTCCCAGGTCCATGGACAGAAGGCCGCCTGGGAGGACCCTGTGGAGTGGGTCCGGGACACTCTTCCCTGGCCATCAGCCCAACAGGACCAGTCTAAGCTGTACCACCTGCCCCCGCCCACCGTGGGCCCGCACAGCATCGCCTCCCCTCCTGAGGACAGGACAGTCAAAGACAGCACCCCAAGCTCCTTAGACTCAGACCCTCTGGTAAGCAGAAACCGATCTGTGGTAGCAGGAAGAATGTTCTAGAACTTAGCTCGTGTATGCCATGTCATGCATCTGGAGTTGGAAGGAAGACCTGGGGCCAGAGTGAGGTCAGTGAGGCTTGTTAGAAGCCTGGCTTACAAAGATGTGGTGCCCATGGCCTGCCTACCCTAATGAATACTTCCCAGCAACGTGGATTCTAGCAAAGAGACCCTCCTCTGAGGCAGGTCCCAGGGAAACACCAGAGAAGGACCCATGAGCAACTCTCGGTTCCGCCGACACACAGGTTGTTATCTGGGGAGCAAACTGAGACAGTGGACACCCTAGAGGAAATGCTTGCAGTCTTGGAGCCCAAAGGAGAGGCACAGCTAGAACACAAAACCTGCCCCAGAAAGGGAGACAGGGCATAGGAATCGGTCTGACTCGAGGAAACGCAAATGCCAGTAGACATGCAGAGCAGGCCACAGGTTTACTCCGACCCTTAGCCCTAGAAACAGGGCAAGAAGCGAGGAGGTAATCCACCTAGGCGGGAGTGTGTGAGCAAGTGTGGGACCTGCTCACTCCCCCTGACAGTGTCTGAGAGCAAAACCGTTTGGGAGGATTATGGGGCAGAATGTATTCAAACTCTGCATGCACAAATCCTGGGACTTTGCAGCTTTCTTTCTTTCTTTCTATATTATATTTTTTTGTTTGTTTTGGGGTCACACCCAGCAATGGTCAGGGGTTGTTCCTGGCTCTGCACTCAGGAATTACTCCTGGCATTGCTTGGGGGGACCATATGGGATGCCGGGTGGGCTACATGCAAGGCAAATGCCCTACCCGCTGTGCTATTGCTCCAACACACAATTTTATTTTTCAAGAGGAAATTCTTACATTTTCAGTCTTTTTTGTTTTTCTTTTATTTCTTAAACATGATCCGGGGACTGGAAAGACAGGACCGTGGGGAAAGTGCTTGCCTTTCATGTGGCTCATCTAGGTTCTATCCCTGTCACTGACATGCCCCCCACCCCCCGTCACCACTGAGCAATGCCAGGAGTAATCCCTGAACACAGAGTCAGGAGGAGACCCTGAGCACAGCCTGGTACAGCTAACAAAAAGAAAGGAAGGGAGGGAGGATGGCGAGACTGGAGCAATAGTACAGGAGATAGGCCATTTGCCTTGCATGCAGCCAACCGGGTTCAATCTCTGGCATGCGGTATGGTCAACCAGGTCTCGCCAGAAATGATCTCTGAGTGCAGAGCCAGGGGTCATCCGTGAGCACCACTTGGTGTAGTGAAAGGGAGGGAGGGAGGGAGGGTAAAGGTAAAGGTAAAGGCCCTCCCGTTGATCGTCGATTTGCTCGAGCGGGCCCAGTAACGTCTCCATTGGAGACTTTGCTGTTACTGTGTCTGGCATATCGAATACTCTCAGTAGCTTGCCGGGCTCTCCGAGAGGGGCGGAGGGGGAGGGAGGGAGGGAAGGAAATTTTAAGAATTTGGAGCTTACCATGCCAAAAGAGTCACAGTTGATAGTGAACAGGTGAACAATGAACATTGATTTTTGTTTGTTTGTTTGTTTTCTGGGTTTGGGTTGTTGGTTTGTTTCTTTTTTGTTTGAGGGGGGTTGGGTCATATCTCACTGTGTTTGGACACTATTCTCAGTGGGCACATTGCAGTGTATGGGAGACTGCAGATGCTGGGAATTGAACACGGGGTTCCCTGTGCAAATCCTCTGCTCCAGCGCGTGGAGCCAGCTCCCTAGGCCTACAAAGTGAACTTTCTTGTGGCAATACCCCGAGTGACAGAACACTGACATCACCCACTACGACCGACACTGAAGAAACCACTTGCCTGACCTCAAACTCTGTATATTAGTGTATCTTCTATATTTACATCAATGAACAGCAATTCATTTCTTTAGGTGAATAAAATTGGTAACCCCCGAGGAGAAGCTTAGCAGATTCAAAGAGAAAGCAAGAACAAAACCAATGTCAAGAGGAAGAAAAGTGACATCACGATAGAACCCACAAAATGCAATAAAAGATTGTGAAGATCACAAATATAATGGCAGCTCAAATTTTTTAAAGCCTTAATGTACTAAAATAGCATTTTTAAGGATAATATTTTAAAAACTAGGCTATATCTTATCTACCTAGAGGAGATAAGATAGAGATAGAGAGAGAATCTAGAAGCTCAGGTGCCGAGGAGACACTTGAAAGGATGGCATCCACAGTGTGCATGTGGGAGGCCCGAGTTCAATCCCTGGCACCACATGGTCCCTCAACACCAAGCTTAGAGTCATCCCTGAGTACTGTGGCCCAAACCCTCCCCAGCCCCCAAAAATTGATACTCAGAGTAGAATATTTTAAATATCTGGAATACAGTCCAAAATTATTCAACAAAAGAAGAATTAGGACAGTGTGGACCATTCTCAGATATTAAAGAAAATATAGGCCAACCTTGATTTGAGCCAAATGTTAAATTGAGCAAAAAACAGATAAATAAATAAACATCTAGGGGACTGGAAAGATAGTACAGGATTTGGGAGTTGTTTTGTTTTTGTTTTGTTTGGGGGGCCACACCAGACAGTGCTCAGGAATTACTCCTGGCTCTGCTCCCAGGAATTAACAGGGCGGAGAGGGCTCAAGGGATCAAGATCGAACCTGGGTCAGCTGTGGGTAGGGCAGGTGCCCTGCCCACAGTGTTATCTCTCTGGCCCCAGGGGTTAGATATTTAGATAGTACAGAGGTTTACGCATACACCTTGCATGTGGCCAACACCAATGTGATTCGTGGCATAACATGGCCTCCTGAGCATCCTCAAGTGTAGACATGGAGGCTCCCAAGCATCACGGAAGTGACCCGTTATCCACAGCAGCACCCCAAGTTCTATTAGCCAGCAGTTTCCGGGAGGGACCCCTGAGCACTGCTTGGAAGGGCCCCACCCCACCTCCACCCCTGCCAAAAAAATAAATCAGATATCAATTCTAACTACATTTACTAATGATACAGAAAATATACTAATAATGAATGAATATTTATGAAAGTCCAGCAGAGAAATAACATCTACTTTGTTACGATTTTGGTTGGGGGCTATACTCAGCAGTGTGTGGAATTAGTTCCCCAGTGGTGCTTGGGGGATTGTGCAGTGCTGGACTCCCACAGTGTATGGTATTTGAAGTTAAAAATTTCTAGACTGGGGACGGTGAGATAGCAGAGCGGGTCAGGTGCTTGCCTTGCATGTGGCTGACCCAGGTTAGAACTCCAGCATACTATATGGTCCTCCGAGCACCACCAGGTGTAAGCGCAGAGTGAGAAGTAAACCCTGAGCACCACCAGGTGTGACCCCCAAAAAGCCAATAAATAAATAAAAGCGAACAGACAGAAAGTACCCCTTTCCCCCCACTGGAAGATGTTTTCACCCACTCTGGGAAACACTGGATTAAAACCACAACCTTTTTTGATGTGCTCCTTCTGTGGAAAGGATGCAGAGCAATTGGTTCTCACTAACCCATCTTTCTGTTTGTTTTGGTTTGGGTTTTTCAGGGGCCACACCTGGCTATGCTCAGGGTTTACTCCTGGCTCTTCACTCAGGGATCACTTCCTGACTATGCTCAGGGCACCCGATGGGGGGCTGGGGATTGAACCCGGGTCGACCATGAACAAGGCCAACACTTTACCCGCTGTACTCTCTGTTCAGTCCCCACTAAGCTGTTTTTTTTTTTTTTTTTTGGCCCTCTGTAGATGGCCATGCTGCTGAAACTTCAAGAAGCTGCCAATTACATTGAGTCTCCAGACCGAGAAACCATCCTGGACCCCAACCTTCAGGCCACGCTCTGAGGATGTCGCCACACTGTCACCCCGGACAGGACCGCGAAGCGCTGACATCAGCCACGTGAATGCCTCCTCTCTGGCTCTTCGGCACAGGGGAGACCAGGAGGGTGGAGGAGGTGCAGGAAAGGGGCGGGTTCTTGGTGCTGCACCTTTAGGACTTGGAGTAAGGATTGATGGGGTGGAGTTCGGGACCGCGTGTTCCTTAGATATATTTGCTGGCCTCCTCTCATGGACTGGGGGCAAAGATGATTCTGGGTCTTTCCCCTTGATTTCTTCTGTCAATTGCAAACTCCTGGGCTTTCTGGGGAGGACTTCCGAAGACACAGGTCAAACCTCGCAGCAGTTCCCAGTTCTCGGGAGCAGCCCTGAGACAGTCCTGCGTGTGGAAGTCGGGTGAGGGAGGTGGAACCTTCAGAGTTCCTCGGATCCTCCCCAGTTCTATCATCAATGCCGACTTTCCCCCCCAGAGAGCTGGGTGAAGCCCCGACACAAAGAAGCATGTGGTTTAAAAAATGTTTAAATCAATCTGTAAAAGTCTTTTTTAAAAAATGGAAAAGATGAAACTGGAGAGAAGGGAACCAGCAGCCAAGGGAGGGTGCGCTGCCTCCCCCCCAACCCCCCAACCTCTGGGTGACGTAGGGGACGCTGACAAGACAGCTGCCAATCGAAGATGTTGCCAAACCACAAAAAGAACATCCCGGCCTTCCGAGACGGCGAGCTCTCACACCCTCTAATTTAACGCGCCCGAGAGTCAATAAACCCTACTTCTTATATATATATATATATTTTTAATTTTGGTTTTTGGTTTTATTTCCTTTTTTTCCTCCCATATGCCTATTTATTTTCCTTTTCCTTCTGTTTTTGCTTTTCCAACCCTGTTTTCTCACATGTCCCCAGAGGCTGAAATTGTTGCTTTTCTGATGTGAGCTGGTTTGGCTTTTCCAAGTGGGTTTTCCCTGGAGACCCCAATGGCATCTAATTGGCAGAAGCCGGTCATCTCCCAGCCACTGTTTCGGACCCTGTGAGCTTTCCTGAGACACGAAGCATGGACTCAGAAGCAGTGGGAGAAGAAGAACCCTGACTGTCCTTTCGAGAAAGCACACGTTCTCCTGGACACTTGCCGCCTGCTTCCCGTGGGCAAGCATGTCACCTTATCTTGAGAGAAGATCGAATCTGAGCTCCACCGGGGACCAGAGGGAAGCCAGGAAGCTCAAACTAGGCCTCCATCACAGGGCCCTGCCCTGCGTGTTTCTGATGACAGCTTCTGCTCACTAATCCTAATCCCTCCCAAGGTCCCTACTTGTTGTTGACAAGTGGACACCCACAGAGTCTGGGCATCCTTGGGAGAAGTCCCAATCTGAATACAAGGCTCATGGAGCTCCCTTTGGGGGCCAGCCCCTGCTTTCCAAAGGTTTCCTGCTTTTTCAGAAGTTACACTCAAGTCTGGCCATGTCTGTTCCTCCATTCAGCAGGTACTTGGCAGTACGTCCTGCCACCTGGTTTTAAAAGGACTTGGGCCCTAAATTCCCAGTCTAGAGGGAACACATCTTATTTCGTAGAGCTTCAGGTCATCTAAGAAATGAGCCTGAGTCCATAGGCAACAGCTGGAGGGAAGCCTCTCATTGGATGATCAGTACCTGGGGAAAAACCATCTTGGGCCAGCACAGATGGAAAGTGAAGGACAATGTTCAGCCTCAGTGGGGAAACCTGATTCCTGCCATTTCTGAAGTCCCCTGTAGAGCCAGGTCCAGGTCAGGCTGCTGGGTCAGGCTTTATTTCCAGGGCTCCACAGATCAGAGATGAGCCTCTGCTCCCCACATATCTAGGGAACCACCTGATCTGCATTAATTGGCGCATTCGCCTGAATCAGCCTACTGCTCCACAGCTAAGGAGCCATTCATCCAACTTTGCACATCGGAATACTTAAGTCCAAGAGGTGGTCTGGATCGCTCCCTAAAAGCATCTGTGTACTCACTGCTAGCTCTCGGGGGTAACAGGGTCCTCAAGGCTGGAGACATTTCTTGCTATTGCTGCTATTTCCGTGAGCTGTGAAGATTCCCTCACCAACTCAGCGGTCAAATATGCAATGCGGGTGGAAAGTGGCTGTGTTTCCCAGGATGGTGCTGAAATCACTGCCTTATGGTCCCAGCGGTGCAGGAGGAGGCCCCGAGCTGGCTGTTTCAACATGGATGTGGGACCTCTGGACTCAGGCCTCTGAGTCCTTAGCTCCAGTCCCGTGACAAGGCTCAGATTTGTCATGCCATCTTAATCAGGTGGTTGAGCCCTTAACTCTTTTCTGGTGCTGCCCAGCCAGTGCCTTGGGTCATGAGTGTCACTGGCTCCTCAAGTAAAAAGGGAGGGGAGAACCCTTCCTCCGTTCCATCTGCCTCTGATCCCGGAAGGGATTCTTGTCTCTAGGATACCCTGGGTACCACTGGGAATGGGATTGGAATCCTTAGTAGCTTGGTTTCGGAGGCACGTCACACATTTTCATCTCTGTTCCTGGGACCCGCCACCCTCTCTTCTTGACTGCTGCCTCAGCCCAGGTGTCTGGGGGCTCTTCTCCTTCTCATCTAAGGAGGGGGCATCATAGCCTCGGCTTTCCCGCTGGAGTCTGGGACCCTGTTTACAGTTGCTCCCTTGGGCCCCTCACTGTGGGGATCAGTCATCTCATCACGGAATTCTGGCTTCATGGCCACTGCAGAAGACTGAGCATCCTCATGGTGCTATGACCTCTCGGGATGCTCATCCCAGCAGAACACCTGAGCGCCCTCTCACTGCCCCGGAAGTAATGGCAAGAGCAACATCATCGCCTGCTCTTCCATGGCACACACACTTCCTGGTTGACGCCTCTGGGATCTCTCCCAAAACGTCAACCCTGGGTCCCACAGTCACATCCTCAACCTGCAGACTCCATCAGAAGACTCCAGCCTATGTCAGACTGGAATCTGTGCTCGTTCCTTCTCTCCAGCACCCCCATCCCCACCCCAACTCCTCACCAAAGCTGGCTCCCAGGTGACATGGATCAACTCCCAACATCAACCAGTGGGGGGGGGCGCTGCCTTTCCGGGAGAGACTTCTCATCACGTCCCTCTCATTTCTGGGTGGAGAAGACCAGTGTTCTGTCTGGTTGATCTGTTTCTCAATCCCTGTCTAGGCACTTAAAAAAAAAAAGAAAGAATACTAGGTCATTGGAACCTAATATGGGACCTGACATGGGTGTGTATGTGTGCATCTGCATGTGCTTGCGTGTGTGCGTGTGTGCGTGTGTGTGTGTGTGTGTGTGTGTGTGTTCACCCTTGCTCTTCTCATAAGAGCCATTTGCTTTTTTGTTTGTTTGTTTTATCTTCTGAGGCGTCACTGACTATTTTTTAAGACATCTATGCATTGTGGCAGCTCTCCGGTGCTTCTCTCTGTCTTTGTGTCATCTCAGGCCTGGGAAACTAGAGGCTGACAAGGAAGGAAAATGTGATAAACAATGACCAGGGAGAGTGAGTCCTTCTTGGTAACTAGGCTTAAGTTGGTTACTACCAGCTTTTTAACCAATCTCTCCATATCCTTACGGTCTTAAGATAACGGGGGTTTTCTTTCTTACCTTCTGTTTCTCCTGCTCCGTTAGACTCCAGCTGTGCCTAATTTCATCATCTCTTCACTCCTGACTTGCCAAGACAAGAATCCCACTATTACGTGATTTGAGAGACAGCGATTCCCTGCCATAGGCCAGGAGAGTCGGGAGACAGCAGTGCATGCCTGCTGTTTCTCTCAGACCTCCCTCTCCACCTGGCATGGTGCTCACGTGAGTCAGATTTGCCCAGCTGGAAGTGGGAAGTGGGACTTGGTTTGACAAAGCAGGGCTGAGCAGAGAGTGACAGATGCCTTTAAGGTGCTTTCTGACAAGGAGTTTGGGAGGAGAAATCACTCTTGTCGTAATGTCACGCTGAACACAGAGTTCCCGTGTAAAGGAATTGAGATCATCAGGTCTAGCTCCTTGGCGTGCTTCTTTTTCTTGCTTTATTCCGAGGCTAAACTGAAGACATTAAGTTGACTTTATAAGGAAACCCCAGTGATAGGCTGAGATGCACTTTTGCAGAGTTTCCTAACAGGCATGGATATATTCATGGAATGCTGGTACACCCTTGTAGTTAAGAACCACTCACTAGGTAGATCTGGTTCAGAGATTAAGGATAAAAATGGTCGTAGAACACCATGTTCCCAAAAGACCTAAAAAAGTGCTGCCCTTTATAACCAAAGAGGCTTAGGTATGCATGATTCCTAAATCAGCCTGCTAAGGGATAGATGGAATCAGCATCTTGGTTCTCCCCACTGTCAAGAATCCACAAGTGCATGTCTTTCCAGCCTCGCCTTGAAAGCCAGCACTGCCAGCCACGACCTTGGGAAAGATGGACATACAGTGAAAATGATAATGTCTCAAAGTAAGGCGCCCAAAGCAGGGAGACCAATACAACAAAATAAAATTGAAGGGTCAGGGATGTACTTTAGCACTTCCCTTGCATGTGTCAGGCTCTGGGTTCAAGACCTGACACCACAAAATAGATTTTAAAAAAAGTTTATGTATACTGGATTCTCCTAGTTTAATGTTTCACACATACATATGTGTATATGGCTTGGGGCTGCAGTGCTCAGGTCTTACTCCTGGACTATGCTTAGGGATGACTCCTGGCGGGGCTTGGGATAATATGGGATGCCAGGGATCAAACCTGGGTCAGACTATTGCAAGGCAAACATCCTGCTCACTGGTCTATGTTATCACCTTCTTACCTTCTTGGCTAATTTTTGGGCAACTTGTTTTGGGGTTTCTCCCAGCTCAGTGCTCAAGGATTTCTCCCAGTGGTGCTCCAGGGACCATGTTTGGTATGGAACCGAGAGCTCCTGCATGCAAAGCCTGTACCCCATCAATCACTTTGCTTAAAAATAATACTGTGGAGAACTTTTCATGACAGAGGGCATTAAAGTACATGAAACTGACTTGGTTTCTTGGGTCCTCTCTTTTTTTCTTTGTCTGAGGGCCAGAACTGGCATTACCCAGGCCTTTCTCCTGGCTGTGCTCAGTGGTCACTCCTGACAATGCTTGGGAAGACCATATGTAGTACCAGGGATCCCAGTCAGGGTTGGTAGCATGTAATACAGGTGTCTTACCTCCTGAGTTCTCTCCAGCCCCTCTTGGTCCATTTCTTTTGTTTTTCTTTGTTTTGTTTTGATTTTTGGGCTATGCCTGGCAGCGTTCAGTGTTTACTCCTCAGAAATCACTCCCAGCAAGGCTTGTATGACCATATGGGGTACTGAGGATGGAACTTGTGTGGCCACATGTAAGGCAAATGCCCTTCTCACTGTGCTATCTCTCTGGTCCTTTTGGTCGATTTCTTAAAGCAGTAGTTACATATTGTAGATCAGTGGCATCTGGGAACTTATTAAAATGAAGCTCCAGGGTCTAAGGCTGTGGCTTAGTGTTGAGAGCACAGGCTTTATACAGGTGAGACCTGGGCTTGAATCCCTGATAGCGCAAAAGAGAAAAAAGAAGAAAAGTTCCCAGGCCCTTTTCCAGACCTCCTAAGTCAGAAAGTACGGGTAGGGCCCCAGAGTCCAGGTTCTCACAGAGCTCTTGACCATTTTACTGAAACACTGTTGGTGATTTGAAGGGCAAGACAGGTATCTGAGCCCCCTCTGTGAGGGGCTGTAGGCCACAAACAATTCTAGATGAGATGTCAGACATTTTAGCATTCATCTCAGACCATTCCCAGGCTTCCCTCTGGCTCCCCTCTCCTTTAATTTCATGTGGAAAGACCCGAGTCCTTGGGTGAGGGGGCAGCTTCGCTTCCTCACAGAACTCAGCGAACCCTCTCGGCTCAGAGCCATCGGGCTGCAAGCTGAGAGGCTTTCACAAAGAAAAGCAGTTGGAGGTCTCTCCCCGGCTGCTCTTCGGCTGGATTATTTTTGTCTACGCTGAGCCTTTTTCTCATTATGTAACAGGGTGAGAAAAGTATGAAAAAAAAAATTCAATTTGTGTTTCCATGCCAACTTGTTCTCCCAATTTCTCCCTTTTCCCTAAGTTCCAAAGGGCCCTGCAGGGCTTGCAAGCCTGGTCAGGATCTTCCTCCCCCAGCAGCTAATGTGGGGCCCAGCTTTTGCCCTCAGCTCAGCTCCCAGGAGAAAATTCCATGGTGGACACCACCAAATCCTTACCTCCTGGTTTTCCCACCCTAGATCATGGGGCTTAGTGACTTGGCCACAACAAAGCACATGAAATCCTTAAGCAAACCTGGTTGCCACTTTGCAGTTTTCCAAGCTCACTCTCTAGCTGATGGAGCGGTGAAGGAAGTCCTGCTGACAAGTGGTTTGTTTCTGGTTCGTCCATTTCCCCCATGAGGAGGACCTGGAGGAAATGGACAAACCAGCTGGTATGAGGCCTCAGGCTCAAGATGGGAAGCTCTGGAGGAAGGCCAAGGCCAAGGAAGGCACATGTGAGTCACTGCACTAGCATTGCCCCTCAGTTCCCAGAGGGCTGACTGGGGTCCTGTAGCATCTGTGAGACCTCCTTGGCTAATGAGACACTAGAAAGAGAGAGGAATATGAT